GACTTGTTACAGTTACACCACGTTAAGTAGTTATAACATTTCGTTTTCAGAAAAAGTTGAGCAGGTAGTGAATTATGGGGTCGACTCTTTATCATTGGCAGTGAGATACATTATCTAACCGTGTTCATCTTGCAATTATTATTGAAACAGTCTTTGTGAAAAAAAGTCTACAACATAATTAGTGAAACCTTGACACATAAGTCTAATAAATTATTATTAATTAAGTTTTCTTTTTGGTGATGGTAAGGCAATCCAATTAATGTTAATAATTTTTTTTTTAACAAATTTGTAAGAGTTGTATATGTGATTTAAATCCACTGGACCTGAAGTTCAAGTGCAATTAATGTTAATAAATTTGAAGAACTTTCAATTTGGGATTTGAAGAAATAATTAAATAAACCTAACTCAATGGGGGCGGGGGGAGGGGACCAAAACAAAAAAAAAAGAAGAAGAAATAAATTACATAAAATTAAACAGAAAGAATTGTTAGTTTGTCACCGCGCCCAATTAGAGTCCACCTGTGAGATAACTTGGGTACCCATACGTAACGCAATCATACTTATGCAAATGGAAACCCAACGGTCGACTGCACATTGCACTGCCTTTCTTTCCCTAATTTCCTCTCCAAATTTCGCAACTTTCCACTCCGAAATTCTCATTCTAACAGCATCGAAGAAAACTGCGATGGGGAAGCTATCATACGAGGAATGTCGCCGCAAGCGGATGGAGGAAAACAGGAAAAGAATGGAAGCCCTCAATCTCCCCAAGCTCTCTCAAGCTCTCCGGACCCCCTCCTTCAAACCCTCTCCGTCTCCGGTTTCTATCTCTATCTCTATCTTTCTCTTTGCATTTAGAGTGTTATCAAAAGCTAACTCTGCTTCTTCTCCTTTCAACAGAAGAAGCCGGCGAAGTCTAGCACGGTAGAGAAAGCAGTGGTGGTCAGAAGGTCGGGTCGGGTTGCCAACAAACCCGCCCCTGATTACAAAGAAGTGCGTGAGCCATTTCATTGTCATTTTGTCAATACCCATTGAAGAAAATGTTTTTATTACCATTTCCATTTTTTTTTAAAATTAAAATTTGGATTTATATGTCGCAGGTTGTCGTTGAACGCCTGATGATACCTAGAAGGTAATGCTGATTTCAAATTTATGTATTTTAAGATAGAGTGATAGATTAATTAATGATGTTTTTTGGTATGTGTAGAATATCTAGGCGTAGGGATTTGTCCAACAGGGTATATGCTTCGGATGAAGCAAGAGCAGAGGCTCTAGAGAAAGCAGAAAATTTGGAGTTGACTTTAGGAACTGATTTTCCTACCTTCACAAAGTCAATGCTTCCCTCCCATGTTAGTGGTGGATTTTGGCTAGTACGTCTTTCATCTTTCATCCCTTCATTTCTCTATAATTTACAATGAGATTGAAGCAAACAATTTGTCGTTCAAATTGATATTGTGTGGCTTATGATGTAAAGACGGTTTTTTTCAGCATAATAGGCAGTGGCTGTGCAATTCCTAGTATAATCTTATGTTAAATCAAAGAACATAAATCAGTCTAGTTTTGGGTTGGGGTTCCTTTTCTCATTGCATCAAATCAACTCACTTTTAATGAATATATTGGCAACAGGGTCTCTCAGTCCACTTCTGCAAGACTCATCTTCCAAAGCGGGATGATGTTATTACTTTGATAGATGAAGAGGGTGATGAGTATCCAACCGTATATTTGGCCAGAAAAACAGGACTTAGTGGTGGATGGAAAGGGTTTGCAGTTGCTCATGAGTTGGCAGATGGAGATGCCTTAGTTTTTCAGTTAATCCGACCCACAGCATTTAAGGTGACAAAATCCAGCTCATTATTCTTCTCCTTTTTCCTGACAAGCCTAATATTTTATTGGAACTTTTATTCTTAAATTCTGGGTCTTTGTTTGATTTTTAGTACCCTCTATTGTTTTCCTTATTTGACTATACCATATGGATTAAGACATGTTCTAGTTTAATTATATGTATGATTTTATATTTCTGATGACTTTGGATTGCCACTTTGATATTTACTAGGAACCATCATTTATTTATTTTCTTTCCAGGTATACATTGTAAGGGTGAATGGTCCTGAACAAACTAACCAGCAATAACATTTTAAATGTTGGAGACAATAGAATCAGTTCAGGTAACCCCCTAAGGACAAAATACCAGCAAAAAGTTAGATATGATTGTTGGCATTTAGCTAATGAATTTCATCAATTATTCAGTGTACATAATCATCAGTAACATAGAGTGTAAGCAATTCAGCCCCCATAAACCTCTTTCTTGCAAATTATGATTTGTTCTTAGCTTTGTTCGTCTTTGGGCCTGGGACCTACCTTGCATTCACCCTGTCTCACACTCCATTGACATTAAGCATTCATGCCACATGGTTTTGCATCCTGAGTGACTTTGTATAATCTTTTTATTGACCAATAAACAGGATGCTTTAAAAGTTGAAAAAAATATGTTTAACATAATATGAGGCAAGATGGCTGTGGCTATGTTCTAAATTCTGATTATGAAAGTGGTAG